TGCTATCAAATAAATAGATCACGCAGAGAGTAGATGACGCATGGGTAGAGAATACACATTGTGCATGATTACAGAGCAAATGATGCATTGGGAGACTAAATTTTTTTATTATGCATAGACACTTTTATTATGTAGTTTGGAATATTTTGTTTTTAAACTTTTGGATGTTATTTACTTATGTTGAATGTATTTTTATTTTTAAATTTAGATGCTTTTGTTTTAAGAGATGTGCCTTATTATTTTAATCAAATGATGTTATGGGTAATGTATTGGATATGTAAATAGGCCCATAGAAACATGTGAAAGAGAGAATTAGTTTTAAAAGAAAAAATTATTTATGAAAGCAAGTTATTGACGCAAATAACGTTAAAATAGTAATATTATTTTTTTTTTTTGCATTAGCCTTTTGCCGTGGCAAATAATATCTTTTGTGACAGTTAAAAACCATTGTAAATGGGTTTGTTGAGACTATCCCTCACTGTGGCTAATAATGTCATTTGCGACGAATTAAAACCGTTGTAAATGGGTTTGCTGCGACGGTCCTCTATTGTGGGTAATAATATCTTTTGCGACAAATTTTAACCGTTGCAAACGGGATTTTTTGCAACGGTCCCCAACTATGGCTAATAATACCTTTTGTGACGATTTAAAGCATCGCACATAGGTTTTTTGAGACGAAAAATTGCTGATACAAACAAAAAATGTCAGATCTAAGATTTTTTTGTGACTGCGCATTTGCATCGGATTTTCCCGATGCAAAAGCTTTTGTGACGGTTAATTGCCGATGCAAAATCTTTTGCATCACCTATTATTTGCTACCCCCAATTTTTCGACTTAAAATATCACGTTGCCATTGCAAATAGTATTTGCGACGACAACGTGATCTTTTGAGATGGCAAATTGTTGATGCAAAAAAACTTTTTTTCTTGTAGTAGAAGATCACTCTGCGGGTCACCACCGGGCCTATCATGATCGACACAAAGTTTGTAGTGATCGACTCTAATTTTCCATACAACATAATAATGGGGCGGACTTGGTTGCACTCGCTTGGAGCAGTGCACACCACCTACCATCAGAAGTTGAAGTTCCCCATTCCGGAGGGGGCTAATGGGGATTTGCGAAGAGCAAGCTTCAATAATAAGTTATTTTTATGCTACTGTAAAATTTGGGGTTATCTCCAAAAAGAAGGATCGTGCCTTGGAAAAAGTGTTGAACAAATAGCAACTACAGTCCGGACGGCTAGGTGTCGATAAGCCACAGATTAACCCAGCCGACTACTCTATGGAGGACCTCTAGAAGGTATTCGTAAGGGAGGGGGATGAGGAGAGATACTTCCTGATCACCTCCACCATGTGCATGGCCAAGTAGGAGGGGATTGCTAATTTTTTTAGGAAAAATGTGGATGTGTTTGCATGGGACGTCGAAGAGATGAAAGGTGTAAGTCCAGATGTTATAACTCACAGGCGTCATGTTGATCCCAATCATATCACCATCAAGCAAAAGCTTAGGCAGTGAACGAAGAGATGGAGGGGCTCCCAGAGGCCGACGCCATCTGGCAGGTACAATTCCCAGAATGGTTGTCGAACACTGTCCGCACAAAGAAGAAGAGAGGGAAGTGGCGTGTCTACATGGACTTTACAGACTTGAACAAGGCTTGTGCCAAGGATGATTATCCCTTCCCTAAGATTGATCAGTTGGTAAATGCCACGGCGGGACACAAATGCATGGCCTTCATGGCTGCCCGAATCGGCTATCACCAGATCCCTCTCCATCCACCTGATTAGGAGAAGACTATATTCATCACTCCAAAGGGGGTCTATTGTGACAAGGTCATGACATTCAGATTAAAAAAATGCGAGTGCCAGATACCAGAGGCTCATGAACTGAATGTTCAAACGACAAATGGGGAACACCATGGCTTTGGAAAGTTTCTGAGATACATAGTAAGTTGGTGCAGCGTCGAGGGAAACTTGAAACAGATACAGGCTATCATGGATGTACGTAGCCCCCTGGACCGTCCACGACGTCCAGAAACTTACAAGAATATTTGCCACCTTAAATTGTTTTATATCTCGGTCTTTAGAAAAATGCAAGCTTTTTTCTGGTTCCATCAAGAGGTCCAGAAAGGATTCTTGGAACAAAGAATGCAAGAGGGCGCTCGGAGGGATCAAGGAGTACCTCAAGGTCCTCTTGACCTTGTCAGTTCCAAAAGGAGAGGAGATGTTGTTCCTTTACCTGGTCGTTTTTGAATTTGTCGGTAACGGCTTACTGGTCCACGAGTATGAACATGAACAGAAGCCAGTGTACTATGTAAGTAAAACTCTTCTAGACGCGAAGACAAGATACTTGCCTTTGAAAAAAATTGTGTTGGCGTTAGTCACAGCCACACAAAAGTTGAGGCATACTTTCAAGTGCACCCTTTCATTGTCTTGACAGATCAACCTTAGAAGGCAAACCTAAGGAAAGCAAACCTCTCCGGGAGGACAGCAAAATGGACCATGGAGTTGGGGGAACATGACATCCACTACAGGCCTCACATTGTAATAAAAGGGCAAGTGTTAGTAGATTTCATTGGTGAGTTTACCCAAGGGAAACCATCTACCCCCGAGGTGGGGCACTCCAAGGACGACCAAGTGCACTTCTGGAGACTTTATGTGGACAAATCCTCCAATAGCAAGGGTTCCAAAATTGAAGTGTTATTAGTCTCCCTAGAAGGTTAGTCATGGAGCAGGCAGTGCGGTTGAGATTCAAGGCATCCAACAATGAGGCAGAATATGAAGCCCTAATCTCTACACTCAAACTTGCCGATGCAGCGGGGGCTGCGGAGCTGACATTCTTTTGTGATTCCTTACTGGTGGTCAACCAAATCAATGGAGAATTCGAGGCAAGGGATCCAAGAATGAAGGCTTATCACCACAAGGCAATGACCCTACTCCACAAGTTTAAAAAGGTGGGAGTCTAGTAGGTCCCATAGGACAAGAATGTCCACGTCGATGCCTTGGTATGCTTAGCCTCGACGTTGGATTCTAACATGACACACAAGATTACCGTGGAGTTCCTCCCCAACTCCAACATAGACGACGTCCCTGGTGTGATAGCCATTCTAGAGTGGGAGGAGTCCCCTAGTTGGATTAATCTGGATTAATTCGCTACTCAAGTTCCTTGTGTTTGGGAAACTCCTAGAGTGTCTCAAGAAAGCTAGGAAGATAAAGTTGAGGGGCCCGAGGTTCTAGGCCTCCCTAGATCAAAATTTGTACCAAAAATTGTTCTCCAGACCCTATTTACTTTGTGTCCACGAAGATAAAGTTGAACCCTCCTGTATTAAGTGCATGAAGGCATATATGAGGGGCACTTGATTGGAAAGTTCATCGCCCATCGGATCATGTCACAAGGATATTGGTGGCCACGAATGCAAAGGGATGCACAAGTTTATGTCCGAAAGTGCGACCAATGCCAGAAGTTCAACCCCACCATTAAGCAACCAACAGGAGATTTGCACTCACTAACTAGTCATTGGTCGTTTGCCCAATGGGGGCTCTACTTGGTGGAGACAAAAAGTTCCTAATAGTTGGGATCGATTATTTCACAAAGTGGGTTGATGTTGTGCTATTGACTTATATCAGGGACACGGACACAAAAAAGTTTGTGTGGAAGAACATAGTGATAAGGTTTGGGGTCCCCCATGCGCTTGTATCAGAAAACGGCACTCAGTTTAACAGCAGAACCCTCAAATCTTTTTGTGAGCACCTCAGAATCCAGAATTACTACTCCAAGCCCCCGTACCAATAAGCTAATGGATAGGTGGAGTCTTCAAATAAGACCATCGTCAGCAGAATTAAGAAAAGATTAAAGAAAGGTAAGGAGAAATTGGTGGGTGAGCTTCTGAATATCCTTTGGGCTTACAGGAAAACTCTCTCGACCTCAACAGGCGAAACACCTTATGCTCTTGCATATGGAGTAGAGGCGGTTATCACGCTGGAGGTGAGTCTCTCCATTATAAAACGCAAGCTTTTGACACTGGAGAGAACGATCATCAACTCAGCCTAAACTTGGATCTCACAGAGGAAAGAAAAGAAATGGCAGTCTTAAGATTAACAAAGTACCAAGAAAGGGTGTTTAAACTTTACAGTAAAAGAGTAAAACCTCAAAGATTTCAAGTAGGTGACCTGGTGCTCAGAAGAGTAGTCGAAAATACTTGTGACCCAACCGATGGAAATGTGGGACCAAATTGGGAGGGACCATACAGAGTCATATCAGTGGGAGGTTCCGAGTCGTACAAGTTGGAAGATACGGAGGGAAATGTTATACTTTAGCCTTGTAATGTAATGAATTTGAAAATTTTCTATTTTTTTAGAACAAAAGGCTTATTTTCACTAAATGAACTGTCCCGAAAGTGGCATGGCACCAGAGGCGAAGTCCTTAAAGAAGACTCCTTGCCTCCAAAGAGACAAATGAGTGAAGGTTCCTTGAAGGCTATGGCCTTGGAGGAAAAGTCTTTAAAGAAGACTCTTGCCTCCAAAAAGACAAATGAGCAAAGCTTACTAGAAGGGATATGGCCCCAAAGACGGAATCTTCGAGGAAGACTATTGCCTCCAAAGAAAAAAAGTAGCAAAAACTCCTGGAAACTCTTGTCTCCAAAGAGACAAAGGAGCGAAGCCTCTTGGAAGGGGCTCGACCCCAAGGGTGAGCCCTTAGAAAAGGACTCACCCAAAAAAGACTCAGGGAGCGAAGCCTCCTGGATGGGGTGTGATTCCCGAGGGAGAACACTTTGAAATTTTTTTTTCATAAAGGATGTCAAGGAGGACGAAGGCTAGCACCCCTGAGGATGGGGAGGGGTCTTGGAGCCTTGGGGCCGAGGAACGACAAAAAAAAACTTGGAAAAAGAAAGGCGATCTTGTATTGCAAAAGAGGATGGATTTGCGTCCTTTAGGACGCAGGAATAAGAATCAAAAAATTACAAGGAAAGAGAGAAAAAAACTACTCTAAGGAGGCCTAGTAACCTTACTGTCGATGTCACCTCCAATGTCACCGAAAAGTTCATCAATACTAGCAAAGAATGTGTCAGCACTATGAGAAGTGGGCGCAGCATTGGCTTGAGCAAGAAAGGCCTCACCCAAAGGGGTAGTAGGAGTGGGGTCGACGGAAGTTGTAGGTGTAGCATCGATAGGAGCAGAAGCTGGAGCTGGAGCAGTAGTAATGACAGTGGCAGCCTTGGGCAGTGGGGCAATGTCACTCTGAGGGCCAAGAGTTGGATTCGTGTTCTCCATCGGCGGAGTTTGATTTGCAGCTTGGAGTGTAGTAACATCTTCTTTTGCAACCTTGGCGGCAGTCTGCCCCATCGCCGTGGAGGTAAAGTATTTGTGTTCCTTGAAGAGTGTGGACTTGACAGGGACCCCAGCAGCCCAAAGTGCCTTGTCTCATCCAATCTTGAAGTGCTCCCTCTTATTCTCTTAGAAGGCCACCAAAATTTCATTGATGCACCGATTGACAATCTTTTCCTCCAACAACTTCCTGGCCTCCAACTTAGCCTTTAACTTGTCCAATTCTTGAGTAGGGAGGCATAAGTTTGCTCTGACTCTGTTACCCTTGCCTTGGCCAGAGGCACCTACTTCGTCACCTCAGTCATTCTTTTCAAAGCAAACTTGTTAAACTTGGCGAGCGAAGCCCTAACCTTATCAACCTCCCTTTTGGCAGCTTGGCTCTCTTTGAAGAGCTTGACTATCTGGACTCCTTAAGTAGAGAGGGTCTTGTCCCTAGCAGCCACCTCCTCCTTAACTGTGGTGAAAGCCCCTTGGACCTTCTCAAGGTTGGCCTAGAGTCTCTTATACTCCTAGACCTTCTCCTGATGGGCATGGAAGCTCTCGGCAATGATAGATACCTTCTGAGCCACCTAAAAGATGAAGGAAAGAAAAGTAACGCCAAGGAAGACGCCAAAGCAAGAAAGAAGAAAAATTCACAAATGTTGAAGCCTTACCACCAATGAGTATTGGATGAGGGAGCGGAACAAATGATTACTCCCATGCCCCCAACGAACCACCATGTCGGTGTCAAAGTGGAGTGCCTCACTCATGGCGTATGCAACATGAGGAGAGGCAACGATGGAGTCAATCACCCTTATCGGCTGATTATCGCGATTTCGGGCAGTACCATACCACTCTGGAGTATTAGGGATCGACGTTGGTATGGACCTAGATGTTGGCGTAGGAGTGCCCCTGCCACGGCCAGCACTATCATGCCTTTACTGTATTCTTCTCTCCATTTAAGGGTCCCTGTCAAGGACTCGGTTGTATCCTAGTGGAGTCAGAGCAATGCAGTCATCGATAATGGGGGGAGTTGGAGGTGTCACCCTTTGGATTGGCATCCCAAAAAGACAAGTATGTTCCTGGTTGGGATGGTTGGTCCTAAAACCAGAGTCGCGTCCCAACCCAACAGTAAGAGCGACTCTCTCTTTGATCAAGCTGCAGAAGAGGTAAGGTAGATTGGACATGGCTACTTCGAAAGCATCTTCTTCTATAAGGTTTCACAGGGTGTTGACGTCTGGCCTAACATTCTTGCCTTAAGAGTTTTCCTTGGCGTGTATGGTAGTGGATGGATCCCTGACTTCTTAGGCGTCGGCGATGGTGTCTTAGGCAACCTTTACCTCAGCTTCAGTTGCTCTATTGGGATCCTTTTCCAAGTTTTTGTCGAATAATGCCGACCACCTTGAAGGATCAAATAGATGGGGTGTCTGGGAGAAGTTTTTGTACCCTGGGAGATAGTTAAGCAACATGTGCACAGCTCGGCCAAACCTGTTGCCCAAGTATTTCCAGACTATGATGAGGTCAACAACATTGACAATGTGCTAGGGTGGAGGAACAGACTCGGCATCGGCGACTCCTGTAAAGAGGAATAAAAGGATGGTTAGAAGACAAGTTAACACCCACTGAGGTGATGTAAGCCGAAAAGAGAGAGAGAGAATTCGACATACTCGTTGTCCGCCATTGCTTGGACACCACAAATAGGCATGCTCAAGGCCAAATACTCTCTCCCATTGACCACTGAAGACGAGCAAGTCGTCATTGTACCCCTTGTCTGAGTCTGGAAGGTGTTTCACAAGGTATATGGCTAGGTCTCGCGTCTTGAGATAGAACTTCTGCTGAGGCATCACCCTCACTAAGGCGTAGCAGAACAAGATCTCCTCCAAGATGAGGTTTACTCCTAAACGCTTATTTAAGGTGACCACCCTCATGATTATCCTAAAAGTATTCAAGAAACATTGACTTGAAAAGAGACGAAACTGGATAGGAAGCAAAGAAGAATGGGGTAAAGGGGGAGTCTGATACCACCCTCCATAATGGCTTTAGTGTAAAAAGGCATGGTTGCCTCAGTATCAGCATCGACACTGTGGAGTCCAGGAATAAACTCATTTATAGTGACCGTAACCCCGATTGGGATAAAGTAGTGGGTCTTAAAATTGGTTATTTGTGGACGACCCATGACTGTATATTTTCTGAGCCTCGAGGTACTAGCCTCATCGGCCCTCACGTTCATATTTCGACGACGTCTAGGCATGGTGTAAACAAAGGAAATGACTTGAAAAGGAAGAGTTCCTAGAGATAAGGGGCCATAGGGTCACTACTAAGAGGGGGAAAAGAAAGATAATAGGGCTAAAGGGTCAAGAATGGTGTTGCTAGGACAAAAAAGAGACGAAACAGAGGGAAAATGGTCACAAAGAAAGAACATAAAGAAAAAAAATAGTTACTTACCAATAAGCACGACTCTGATACATAGGAGAGGTTGGTGGCTTCTTCTCTAGTGGTTTTTGAGAGATTGATGGCTTTCAAGCGAGGAAAAGCTTCGTTGATGGAACTCTGGTGAAAGGCTCTTCGAATTGTAGGGTTGGCAAAAGTGGAAGAAAGATGCAGAGCCTCTATTTAAATAGGGCCCAAGGCCATGATTACACATGATGAATGAGAAGGGGCGAATTAAATGGGCCACGATCCCCAAAGGAGGGAAAACGGCTGCACATGGAAGCAGAAGTCAAACCCTTTCATTTTCCCACGCCACATCACCCTCATCTTACAAAGATCAAAGGCTGGGGGCAATTTATGGGACATTTCTGAGAATTGACAAGTAGTCGACACGTGTCCTCGGCTTAAGAAACATGGGTGCACCATGATTGATATATGTCCTCGGCGTGAGTCCCCTCGAATCCCCTTGTGAGCAACGTGTCCTTGACACAACTGTGTCCCTCAGAGCTCCCCTGTGAGACATGTGTTCTCGGCTCAACAGTTCCCCTAGACACCCTATGCATTAACGCGTGTCCTCAGCATGTGTCCTCTTAGAGCCCCCTGCGAGTGAGACGCGTCCTCTGCTCTGAAGGCCTTCAGGGCCCCATCCGTTTGACATGTGTCCTTGGCGTATGTCCAAGGGGCTTCCACTAGACACATCACCTTGATGCCACATCCTCCACACCGAAAAAGTATGAATAGAGATTTTAACGGTTATCGTGGTTTGGGAGCAGAGTTGGCTATTAGTTATTGACCAATAGCAGAATAAGCAAGTCAACGAATAATAACAGTGATACACAATCTGCAAAGCGCAGAATTAAGAGGCAATGGGCAAAAGTACCCTTGCACTTGTGTGAGGACCACAAAGAAATATTAAATGATTTTTTAGAAGGATGGGACACATTTATTGCTCAGTGAATCTCGAAAGGCAAGCATTAAACGCTCAGAGATCTGAGCATTAAATGCAAAAACTTATTTTCACGTGACAAGAAATGCACATTACCCACAGATTGTACATGGTCACCTTCTATATGGACCAATAAGTAGTCTTCTTTCCAGGGGACTCACCTGTCTGCAATGATTAACTTCATGGAGGTATAAATAACTCTCACAAAATCGAAACAAAGGTACACACATAAATTCTCACCCAAGCAATAGAACAGTGTTTTCCTACCTCTCTCTCATATACTGACTTGATCGTTGGAGGGGTCACGCCGAAAATGCTTCGGTGCCATTCTAACCTTTCATTTTGAGTTACAGGACCTAGTTCGATCACTCACCAGCGATTTGATCGTTCTTAAGGAGTTTTGTCATGATTTCTCAACACCACCTTCACATTTTCAAGTAAACTTGAGTTAACCAAGTGACAGATCTGTCAATTTATTTATTGTGTGAGAATCATCATGCACAGTTGTCATAACAAAGGAATGAGGGCTTACAACTGTAAAGGAATCTGAAGTCAATGATACAATCAAGGTTCAACTATTAAGGAATCCTAAACAAATGAGACCACCAGTAAAGAGTGAAAACATCATAGTTCCCAATGTAATTAATTTCTACATTTCTATTTTATTTTGTCTTGGAGTTCCAAAGATGTTAACATCTCTTCATGTTGTCTTTATGTATTACATCTTTTTGCATTGTTGCCATGTTCATGGCCTATCAACTGATTACATGCTATGAAGAATGACTAAAATATTTGTTATTTTATTCATTGAACTGGGTAGCCTGTGCCTTCAAGTACGGTGCAATATGAATGATTTTGAGAAAAATGTTGATGGACGTTAGATAAATGTCTTTGAGATCTTCAGATGGATTTATTGCAGTCTACTCTGTTTTATATTATAGATATAGATATGTACAATACAGTAAATAAATCTAATCTCAAAAATCTATGGATTGATTGCTACAGAAAAGGAGGTCAAATCCCTTAAAAATTGGGACACATAGAATTACATCAGAAAAAGGAAACTACTAGCTGTTAGTGCTATACATTCAACCACATGAACAAAGGCAACAAATAGGCAACATATAGAGAAATTAGCTGCACATGTTAAATATGATATGGTAGATTCCAAGACTCCCCCACAAGTTGGAGAATGAATGTTGTAAATGCCCAACTTGCAACATAATTGGGTGAAAGTAGTGCGACCCAAAGGTTTGGTAAATATGTCGACAATCTGGTGGATTGAAGGAATGTGGGTAGGCTTAAGTAAGCTAGATTGAATCTTTTCACACACAAGATGACTGCCCAACTCGATATGCTTTGTTTGCTTATGAAAGACGAGATTAGAGGTTATGTGCAAAGCAGAGTGGTTGTCACAGTATAAAGGAATGGGATCCATATGTGGCACACGTAAATCAAGTAGGAGATAGTTCATCCATGTTACTTCACAACTAGCTGATGCCATAGAATGATATTCAGCATCTGCGAATGAGTGTGATACGGTTGTTTGTTTCTTGGTTTTTCAAGCAATAGGACTATGTCCAAAAAAAAATAATAATAATACCTAGTAGTTGAACGACATGTCATGGGACAACTAGCCCAGTCCGAATCACAATAAGCATGA